TTAATGTCACATGGTTTACACAGTGTCTGTAAGTCCCTAGCCATCAATGTTTATGTCCTCTTTTTAGACATTTCCTTACTTCACAGTCCAAGCTAGCCTTGAACTCCTGACCTGCCAGCCTTACTTAGCCTTCCAAGTGCTGGGATCACAGCAATTCACTACCACATCTGGCTAAGCATCAACTCTCGCTAGCTAAGAAGATGCTAACTGAAGTTAAACATGATGTGGCAATTTCAGGAGAATTTCTACTTTAAGTTAGTTTGTTCCTTAGTAGCTGTTTAACTTGCAGAAATTCAGAGTTGCAGGTAAAATGTACTCAATGTATAGTGGTAATGAGGATTCGTTGATAAAACCGATAAATGGTTATAGCTTTTGAAAGTCATGGTTTAAAAACCAGCCATTTGGGGTGGGGTGGGGGTCACGTACAAACAGGATAACCTAGGAGGGGTGACCCATGTTCTCCTTCGGTAGGTGAAGAACAGCAGCTGCTATGCAGCCATCGACGGTTGTAGGCAAGCCAGAGGTGTTCAGAGGACCTGGCACTGTGCTGAGCCTAACACAACAGTCATCCTGGGAACGGATGACACAGTCCCGATGCAGCAAGGACGACCCCGGCACTTGTGCCTTTTATGTTTAGTGGAAGAGGAACCGGAATCCGTCAGTGTTCGGTTGTGTGCCACAAAATCCTAGACAGAAAGCACTGGTTGCTACGAGGCTGCGGGAAACACAGCTTGCACAGTTTGGGCGACTCCCTTCCCCAGCATGCTGCTGCATGGACAGAGCAGGTTCTCAGGAGGATGCAGGCAGGGGTGGGAGGGGAGGGATGTGGGGAACTAAAACAAATTACTTTGGGAGCCATGCAGTCGAGCACTCACAGCCCGAGCAATTTGTTTGGCTTGGAGGCAGATGTCTTCTGTCAAGTCTCATTTTAGTAAGTGTTCGTAACTAATGGAGAATGAGTTTAAACCATTCAAAGCCACTGGTGGTCCAAAATGACTTACCTTTTACTGTCGCCAAGGGAAAAAAAATACTCATTAACAGAACTTTTTGTTTTTGGGGAAAATCACGAGTTAAAGACAGAGGAGCTCTGCCCTAGGGATTCACTTCCCGTGACCATAGGTCACAGCCTCCTCCAGCAAGAAGGCAGGACACTAGCTTGCAGGGGAGGCTGCAAGGTTGCAGGAAGGGCTTGTGGCTCTGCCCGGTGCCCAGCGTCGGGGCAGGGCACAGCGCTGTCAGTGGACACGAGCCCCCTCCCCCCACTTCTGCTTTCTAGAACCAAGCCGTCTATAGAAATGCCCTTGCCGCTCTCTGCCTCTCTAGCTGCCGCTAGCGTCTCACTGATCCATGTGGGCTTTTCTAACCCCATTGCCTAGGATAAAAAGGAAAGAAAGAACGAAGCAAGCTAGTGTCTACTCTGACAAACTCCTCTACGGTAGCAGAGCAAAAGCCGTCGACACCCTGGGAAGCGATTGTTCCCACTACAATCTAGCTCCTGAAACCCAGCCGGATAACGGCAGACGGGGCTCTAAACGTCTTTCGTCACATTTGCCCTCTAACTCAATGTATGGTAGTATTGAGTTCATGGGGGGACGGGGGCGGGGGGGCGCTCCAACTCATTTCTAAAACTCATACTTTGTAGAAAAGTTTTTCACAGGAATTAAAAAATATTCTTTTAGAACGATCAACATGAGTCTATTTAAAAGACACATAAGGGGCGTAGAGGTGGGTCAGCAGTTAAGAACTCAATGTTCTTCCACTGGTTGGGTCCCCGGCACCCGCATGGCAGCTCACCACTGTCTGTAACTCCGGTTCCAAGGGAGCTGACACCCTCTCCTGGCCTCTGTGCACCGACATGCCTATGGTGCACATGGTGCATGTATCAACATGCAGGCAAGACTCTAGCACACAAAACTAAAACTAATGAATGTTTTAAAGAATAACATATTTAACTTAGACACATATTGGCGGGAAAACACTGTTATGTGCAGCAAGAGACAACAGTCCATGATGGTGTAGACTTGAGCCCTGACTACATTTACTAATGCGTGCAGGGTCAGGCAACCTAGTTCACACCCAAACCAGCCTCAGTGCTCTCATTAAGAGCTTGTAGCAGAAATAAACAGAGCATCCTATAGGCAGATAGGGAGTATTTTTAGTTTTACTATGATGCAAGTATATTTTTAGACTTTGAGCGGGGAGGTAAGTTATTACCGAAGTCCTTGTCACTTCACTGTCTTTGTGGGGACCCCTTCAAGCTGGTCTCTGAATACCTTCCAGATTCAGCTTCTACAATTCACCCATGTGGTTTGTGTGGCAGCCTGAAAGTATCTAGTTATATGTACACACACACACACACACACACACACACACACACACACACACACGCTCACAAACATTCCTAAAAATAAATGTTTCCAACTGGAAAGAAAACTCTTTTCTTTTTTTACAGCCGTGACGCGAGGGCCTTTTTTGACCTGGTTGATTCCTGGTTTCTTAGTGCATGCTCCGTACACAACTCCTGCACACATTTCACGTGAGCCTCTTTGGCTGGAGGCTGCCTGCCCTTGGGGAATTAAGAAGTGTGGCTCCCTTACTATTACAGAGCTTAAAGCAGAGCCAAGAAGTCTCAGGGGGCTTCTCTCCCCAGACACGTGAGGGGAAGAACACCGGAGCACAGGCAGAGCCTCCAGCATGGGAGGAGCCAAGCTGGGACTGTCATAGACTCTTGGGAAGAAAAGAAATTAAAGTATTACTATTGTTTACAGGTCAAGTTCTTTCAAATCTGTTATCAACAGAATGGGTCTTTTTCCTCTTGTTTATTACGAACAGGAATTGAAAGGTGTACATTCAAGCCTGGGCAGGGCTGAGTTGGGAGGTGTCTTCATGGCTGAGAACCCAGGCTTACCATCCTGATGGTCAAATTACAGAAGCAGCAACCCAAGATGCTCTTCTACATCAAATACTAGAGACAAATACGTTACTTCTTTCCAGAGGTATCTGCGCTCCCAGGAAGTTGACCATGGGACATTGAAAACATTTAACTGAAAGGAATATACAGAAACACTGGTAAAACGGCAGACATCAGAGTTTCAAATCACCTTGCCTAGGAAACCACCCATTCATTCAAAGATGGCTCTAAATATAGCTGTCTGATGTAATAGGGAGAGAAGGGAGTGCTGAACCTAGCCAACCTTGCAGGGAAAGTTACGGCTTCTGTATTTTTTTCTCCTTCTTCCTCCTTCCTGGACTTACGATTGCCTTCTAGGAGTTCCGGCAACTTCCTGTCTTTCGTGTCGCTGCCCAGCAAGACCAGTGGGGAAGGCTCTGGCGAGTATGTTTTGCGTATTTTATCAGTAAAGGTAAACCCAGAGATGAGTTCAGTGCAACATGAACTTAAAGGGTAGCGAGGTGAGGAGAACCAATCTGCAAACACCGCGTTGGCATGATCAGACCACACCAGAGCAAACACAGACAGCGCACAAAGCTGTAGGAATCAGAGATGTTTTCATGAGAAAGACCCTTAGTCTTTACTTCCCCCTCCTAGTGTGCCAGGGACAAGAGGGAAGCAAAGCAATTGGGTTCTGTCCTGGACAGAGAATTTACTAGTTATTTGCTGACCAGTGCATGTCAGCTCAAGCACAGAGTAATCCCAATGTTTCTCCACAGGGGTACCCGGGGGCAGAGCAGGAGGCAAGGCTACCCTGGCTAGGCTAGGTCAAGGGCTTGGTCTGAAAAGGACTTAAAGCAACATGTTAAACCCACTGAAAGCCAGTTTCCATTTGCGATCACAAGAGCAAATGTCAGTGATAAGCTACTCTCCTCAACCAAAAATAAAACGTGAAAAAAAATCTTTCATTGGGCTATGTCTTGAACAATGGCTGAGGCCACAGTTGGGTTTTAACAGTATAAACATAAGTTTCCATTTAGTGCACTTTTGGTGTTGCTTTTAGAACAAACATCTCTATCTACACGGAAGCTGAGGAAAAGAACTAACTCTGCACGGTTGTTTTGACAGCAAACGCCCAACAGAGCTTGCTCTGGGCACAATCCGTGTCTCAGCCTCCCTGGTACTACATGCTCCACTCGAGCGGAGACGGACAATGATGGCACAGCGACTGTGACTGCAGAGACAACTGCAGCTTGACTTACTTCACATCTGTCCTGTGTGCCTGCTTAGAGGTTTAGCTGTGCTTACGTTTTCAGAATTTGTGGTGAAACAGGGTTTTGTTTTAATTAATTATTTATTTTTGCATTAATCACAGACAAACAGATTCTTCTGTTTAAGGCGTTTTCTTTTTTCTCCAATATTTTAATATTAATTTAATTGTTAATGAATAATTTAACAATTCTATTATTAATTTAATAAATAAGATTTACTGTTTATTCTTATAACTATTTACCTTTATAAATATTTATGCATGGCATTAATAAACAGATAAACACTCTTCTGTTTAAGATGTTTTCTTGCTTGGTTAATCTGTTCCCTCACTTTTCAAAATTAAAATAACAAAAAATGTTTCTGCAACAAATATGGATTGACACTTCATGAATAAGGGGAGAAAAACAACTTTGACAAAATCTCTGACAAATTTGCCAAAGCTTTTCACAAACACAGAAATTGTATAACCACTGTCCATAACAGTGGGGGGTGGATATGGGGAGGCTTCATTCTCTTCTTCAAAAAGCATATTAATGAAAAGAAGAGGCTGGGCAGATGGCTCACTGGGGAAGACCACCAGCTGTGCAAGCACGCAGATGCCAGTTCTAATCCCCAGCATGCATGTACAAGCTGTAACCCTAGTGTTGGGTTGGGGACACAGGCAGGCGGACCCCAGAGCTTGCTGGGCAGCTAGCAAGCTGAAATGGTGAGTGATTTCCACTTTGGTGAGAAACCGGACAACAATCAAGAACGATGTGGGCCTCCTGCTCTGACCTCTTCACGTGCACATGTGGGCACAAGCACACTAAACAGACAAATAAATAAATAAATAACCTTCTTACATTAGCAACTTATTTTTAATGTCATATTTATAAAACAGAATTTAACAAAGAATATTTCTTTTCTGACTGTTACTGCTCACTTTCTTTTATGATTCTCATCAAAAGTAATTTTTCATATAGAGGAAGGGGCTGTTAAAAACAATTAACTGTGTGCCAAACATCAGTCCAGTGCCCAATCCATTATAATGTTTGTCTTCGTGGCTCCCAGACTCTTCCCCAGACTGCCTGGTTGTTCTCCATTCTCCACCACAAATTTGATTTTAGAGGTAGCTCCCTGACCCCTCTTTCCAGGCTCATCTTCCATCTGCCTCCCGAATTTGCTTGTGGAGAAGAGAGCTGAGCTATGAAGTCAGTCTTCCGCTGAGCAAGAGGGCCTGTCCACCTGGGCAGTGAGCTGGCCTGGGCCAGCATGGGAGAGTGGAGTGAGAGCCGGGAGAACAAGCCCTGCTTGGCTCTGACACCCTCAGCCGTTTCTCCCCAGGAGCACGCAGCAGCCTGCCAATGGTGCAGACAAGAATGCATTTTTCTGAGATGCAAAATTAATCAGCGATGCCTGGAACCGCACCCTCCACACCCAGGCTCCAGCCTAACCCAACCCGTAATCTCTCAAAGAGAAAGGGCATTTTCTTTTCAATCTGCATCCCATGTTCCCTTCCAAAGCTCAGTCTTCTAGCCTGATCAGCTCAATGCCCTTAACTCCGAACAGTGATTCAAAGCAAGAGACAAAGTATTTCTCACCCAAATTAGGCATAGGATGATCATCACGGTTCTCTCTCTGAAGAGTCTGTGTCATCTAATGATGATTCATATGTCATTACATGCTATATTTTCTTCACATTGACGATGGGGGAAAGTTATTATATTTTTCATTTTTACTTAGCTGAATATAATGAATTCCACTGCTGGCCTATTTCTGTAATCCACCAATCAAAGGAAACTGTAAAGTTCACCATAGTAACAGCTCAGTGTCAGCGGCCCATGTGAGAACCACACAAGCATGAGAGGCACTGGCCAATCACAGGGCTCGGTAATATTCCCATCTCATAGCAACCAGGAGATCTGCATGGCAACATTAGTTGCCATATGAAAGAAAAATTAGGAGTCCTATTCTGTTAGCGAGGAATAAAGGTATTACCCGTTGAGTCACAGCTGTGAGGACCCGTCCTAAAATAGGTACCTAAACATAGCTCAGATCATACCTGCCACGTCCCTGAGTCCTAGGTTGGGAGATGCGCCCCCTCCCACCAGGCAGAGCCACCTGTGGAGTGAGAATGTCCCAGAGATAAACAGCTTGCGAGCAGAGGGAGAGTCCTTTGAATAGACACAGCAGTAAAGGATATTTGCCAATGAATTACACAGAAATGTATCCCCTGTGGGAGACAGGGCAGATACTGTTCTCCGTTTTCCTTCTGTCCCTCCTCCACCCATTCTCCCCCCACCTTTCCCATCTTGGTTAACAGCAATACAATGCCTTCAGTGGCTTTGGGCAAAGCGTTGGCTATTCTCTCCCACATCCGCAAACACTGTTGCTCCCATCCTCAACACACATTCTGAATCCAGCCTCCTCTGCTCCCCTGGCCGTCCTCCCTTGGTCCATTCAGCATCACCTCCCACCTGGGGGCAGCAGCCTCCTGGACGCATCTCTGTTTCTTGCCCCTGTTCCCCTGCAGCCTGCGTCAACACATCAGCGTCCACACATCAGCCACAACACACGGGTCCTTAGTTCCAAGCCTTCTGATCTCTTGCCGTCTGACGTTCGTGGAAAACCCCAGGGATGGTAATGGGAGTCCTCGGCGCTCTTCCCCACGTCCGACAGCCCGGTTCCCACCTGCAACCGACCTACCGTTGCTTGCACTTGCTCGCTCTGGTCGTTCAGCATGGCAGGCTTCCCCCTACCTCAGGGCCCTTGACTGGCACATTCGTCCCCAGAGGTTCTTGAAGCTCGTCCTCTTGACCTCCTATTGCTTACACGGAATATAGTTTTCTCAGTGAATCGTTTTCTAGTCTATTTTAAAACGGTGCTCTGTCTCGCCACTCCCTTTCCTGGCACTAGTGGGCACACAGAGCGTAAACCTAGCTACTAGTACACGGTCCGTAAACGCCTGAAGATCAGTCAGTGAAACAGTTTTGCAGACAGAGACCGCAGGCATAAGAAGCTGACCAGGTTTGAGGCTCCCAGTTAGACCATATTAGAGCCTGGGCTTGAACCAAGATCCCCAGCTTGCGTTCCTGTCTCCCACAGTCCTGTTTTCCTTCCCCAGTTCTAGAGCCCCTTCTAGTAAGGGCCGTGTCTGCACTAAGAAGAGAGAAGAAACCCCCGGGGTAACACGGCTGCAGTGGGCATGGCCACCAAAAGATAGGTGAGTGGGAGGGTTACCCGAAATGGTGGTGACCTCTGCCATCGCTAGACGGTTTTTCTTGGACCTAGAAATAATCTATTTGACCATTTGGCATTCCCATCTCTTGTTTGCTTGGCTCAAAACAAGGATTTAAGTGGAACTTTTGGTCTGCAACATGTTTTTAATTTTTCTTACATGTTTGTTCTCACTGCCACAGTTGTATTAGGTACACACAGCATGACTAGTTGGGGAAAAAATGAAAAAAAAATCAGACATCAAATATGGATTTTTAGTCTCTGAAATGAATTGTTATTAATGTTTCCAGAAGCTTCCTAGCATTACAAAACTATGTGGAACAGTGGCTTTCAGTTAAACTGATAACGGACACTCTTAGTGGCATACCTACATTCTCCACCCCCCAGAAATAGTGGGGGATAGGAAGGGGAGGGGGAGATGACGTGACTTGGAGAGGAGTAAGGCCCCCCGGGAACAGGGCAGGGAGCATAAGGGACAGAGGGGAACACTGCTCCACAGGGGCCTACTGTTTGGGAAATGCTGTGGACACATGCCACCAAAGGCGCCCAGAGAGGAGAAACACAAACAACAGAACATACTAGCATTAGAGGAGTGGGGTGGACATTTGCTAAGTGCTTTCACACAGACTTCAGTTTAAGCCCTTCAGCAAGCCCCGAGGGCAGGAATTACCCTCTGCGCCTGGTGAGTACACCCAGACAAGCTGATGCTGTCACAGGGCTCTGTCACATGGTCACATGGCAGGGATGGCACAGTTGCCCACCCCGTGATCCTCGTTCCCACCAGTTACATTGTACCTCCTGTCTTCAATACGAATAGTTTATGCCATCTAAGCACACACACACACACACACACACACACACACACACCTGTGCACACCAAGCATCTGGAGCCACACATGAGAACAAGATTGTACACAGAAGTCCTGGAGGAACCCAGCCCACAGCCCTGCTCCTCTCCCGCTCATCCCACATGACGGAATGAGTTACATATTCCCAGAAATGCTAAGGCCCTTCCCAAAAGCCGTGGAAGAGACTGCTCTGTGCTCCCTCCCTATGGACATAAAACTTGCAAGGGAGACTTTTCACCCATCAGAGTCTGGAAGGTCAGCTCCCTCCACTAAAGGGATGAGGGCCCAGGGAAGGGCACCAAAGCAAACGGAATGGGGCCTGAAGTATTGTGCTGAACTTCTGACCCTGCTCGCAGGAGCAGGCTCAGTTATGCAACTGTCTTCACTCCCTTCAGTATTTTGACTCAGAGAACATTTAAACCTCAGCATGGGTAGGCAGGATGAGAGACCTTTTATGGATTCTTGACTTATTACAAAAAAAAATCCTCACAGGAGCAAAATGAGCAAAGTACACCCCTATGTGTGTATGGAAAATCCTAGCTTAAGAAGAGGATGAACACGAAGCCAGCCTGCCCTACGACCTGGCCTTCTGACGCTGTCCAAGAGGGACTCTCCCTAGAATATGCTCCCAGGCTATTTAGCTGTGGAGAAGATGACATCTGTACATCAAGGTAATTAGAGATCCATCTTGCGGCATCAGGACCACCTCTCGGCTCATTTGTGTGTTGATCAAATAGCAGCAGCTTCTATCTGCTACTTCCAGCTCTAAAGAACTTCCCTGACCATCCGATACCTGAATCCCCTTGGTGTTTTTCATGTTTGAACCCAGCGTGAAACACTGGCATGCTTGCAAATGCCATAAAAGACAGTGCTGCCTACTGAAAAGGGTCTGGTGAGACTGGCCAGTGGTGAGCTCTTTGGCAAGTCGATTTCAGCTCTGCCATGTGTCAAACGGATACAAGAGCGCCTATCTTACACAGACTTTCTTCTGCAGAATAAAGTACTGTATTGGGAAAGGACCTCATACAATGTCTGGAAAATGCAATTCAACTATTCTCTTGCACAACTATATAAAGGCAAAGTATGAACACAAATGAACCAAGAAGTTGGCCAATGTAGCATTCTACTCAGATCACAATCTTTCCTGAAACATCCTCTTTAGCAACATGAGCATGAATTTCTCTGGAGAGACTGAAATACCACCAACCCCATTTCAAAATAAAGATGCCCAGCTCCCCAAGTTTCAAGACAAGTCTGCTCCCATTCTTTTTAAAATTAAGTATCAATTTAGTTCTCAACATACTCAATGATGAAGCCTCCTCATCCAATGGTAAGAAACACTAGATTTAAGCATTGCTCTCTTCTGATTGCTGTAATGCTCCATCTCGTCCTGTTAAAGCCGTGGATAAGAACAGCCTTGTCTTGTTAGATTTTACCTCCATAGACCTCATCTTGTTAGATTTTATATCCATAAACAAAAAATCATCTCTATAATCATGGAATGGATCTCATGCTTTGAACAAATGAAACACTGATTGTAAATGATAAACAGGAGAAATTTTATTAACTCCTCTCTTCTTTTAAATGTTTGCATACATTATTTGATACTTCTATAGGTAGGTTAGAGGATGGCAGTTGGACCCGCCACATGCTTACTGCCAGAGAGTAAAATCAGGTAATCAGCTGTGGAAATTGATCCTGAGGAAGAGCTGTGGCTATCTGGAGGCCCAGCTCAGGCTTTGGGTACCAGGATGGGAAACAAGATGACTCTGTGAGCCCAGAGAAAGGAATAAGAAGGGAAAACTTTAGGACTGATGGTCTGGGATTCAGATGCCCGAATGATGTCTGAGCGCCTTGGCAGATTGGGATATGACAGATGTACAGAACAGTGTTGCCCAGGAGACCTGTGGAACAACTCTGGAGCATTTGTCCCACGTTTCCAGAAAGTGCTATCAGGGAACAGAAGAGATGAGTCTGTCCACTGCTGATATTAGTGAAAAATGTTGTAGAAAGTAAGCAGTGGTAAGGAGGCACCATCTAGAACTACAGGAACGCCTTCAAGGACCCTCTCCCCGAAGGAGACCTTGACTGTGTTTGAACCCAAGCAAGAGGAGCTGTGCTCTGATGACCCCACAGACATAAAAATGGAAACATCTCAAAGAATACTTGGAAACCTTGCCACTTAGGGTCTGGGTCTCAGCTCTGGCACACTGACGTTTCCCTAAGCATCTTTCTCTTGACTTACTCCCTTCAGACCCAAGGAAAGCAATCCCAGTGCCCCTTGCCTGGCATTCACATGCCATCAGAGGTGGGAATTTGGCTGCTGCAGACTTTAGAGTCAGACTTGGCTTCATGGGCAAGTGAGCAGTCAGGTTAGAGAAGATGGTAACCAGCTTACCCAGTGTTCCCCTTAGGCAGAATGCATGAGAGAAACGGTTGTGGAAAAAGTGCTCTTGCCAGCCATACTCAGAGGCCATTTTAAAATGTCTAATCTGTAGTTCAAGAACATATGTGACCATCTGTTAGTTTGATTAAAAATATTTAAAGAACTTCACTTTTTTTTTTTTTGCTGCCGACCCCACAGATGTTAGTGTGATGTTATCTGACTCGGACTCTGCCCTAGGAAGAAACAGGGCAGGGCATGTTCCTGTGACTCTGCTACTTTGAAATTCATGATTTCTGCATCTATTATGCAACACTCCCTTAGATGGTTTCGCTCAGGGGATGCTTTCTGAAAGGCCAGTGTTACCAAACACGGAAACCAAAATCGTCGCACGTGGCAAAGGTCCCTTGGTATGGACAAGTAGGCCTGCCCACCAACCTAACTCAGAGAGCAGCACCCTTGGCAGACAGCTTGCTTGAGTGGGGGACATTTTCACAGCCCTTACCCGGCCCTCTCCACATCCTGGGAATGATGATGAATGTCCAGGGTCTCTGTCAAAATTCCATTGCTCTTGGGAGGCGCAGCTATTGCTACAAGTCAATCCCTACTCTTTTTTTTTCTTTTCTTTTCTTTTTTTTTTTTTTTTGGTTTTTCGAGACAGGGTTTCCCTATGTAGCTTTTGGAGCCTATCCTGGCACTCACTCTGTAGATCAGGCTTGGTCTCGAACTCACAGAGATCCTCCTGCCTCTGCCTCCTGAGTGCTGGGATTAAAGGCGTGCACCACCACCACCCGGCTCAATCCCTACTCTTATAGATGGTGGATTTCATGTCACTTGACAACAGCCATGTCATGTCCAAAAGACAGTCTTTCACAGCCCTCATTCCCATCCTCTGGCTCTTAAATCCTCCTGCCCCCCCCCCCGCCCCTTTCAGGAGGTTCCCTGAGCCTTGAATGAGTGACGCAGATGCCCCGTTTGGGGCCGAGCACTTCTTACTACTTTGACTAAGTAATGTCTGCATCAACTGTTGACCCCTGCAGAAAGAAGCCTCTCTGACAAAAACTGGAAGCAGAACTAATATTTGGTCATATAAATTCTTAAAGGGCAGATACACAACATGGCCTTTTAGGAAAACAGTATTGCGGGCCCATGATCTCCCCAGCCACAGCCTGTTGACCAGGTTTACAGGACTGGGCATGAGTCTTTCCTGTGGAGCAGGCCTCAAATCCAATGAGAAAGCAGTCGGACGCTGCCTTAACAGGCATGCCACTATCGCACCAGTGGGTACCTCTTGCCTGGCAGGCGGGTGTTTTGGTTTGCAGCGCTGACAGCTGTGTAAGACCACTGATGACCTTTCTCTCACACAACCTGCGTCGCGCCTGCTGGCACAATGAAAACTAGCCAGCAGAGAGGGAGCTCAGTTCCAGCTTGATTTCTCTGGCCTTGAAACCAAAACGTATGGTGTCTTCAGCAACAGAACCTTACCATCTAGTTCTGGCACACAACCAAAAACAATACAGGAAACAAGCTGTATAATTTAGGGGACCTCTGAAGCCTCCCCTGACTAACTACCGATACGGAAATATTCTTACATCTAACACTGGGACTTGTGTTTAATAACCCGTGGCTTTGGGGAGGGATATTATCCACTTATGCAGGTACCTCTGCTCAAGTTATTTTTATTATATTTTTAAGACACTTACAAGATAGGTTTCCACATGGCTTCTTTTATACATCCTTATTTCAGCTTCTCCTTCCCTCTCCTCTCCCCTTCCCTTACTCCAGCCACCACTTAACTTTCAACACCAGTGTTCACCTGCTGTCCTCTTTTGTTTTATGAAGTCCACTACCCTCCTCCCCTAGGGCCTCTGTCATCCTCCCCTCTAATGGCAGCTGTTTAGTTGCACGGCCTCTCTACAGGCACCCCAAGTTAAACACGCTAACCTCAGAGTTTGAAGCTACAGGATTCGCATACGGAAGAGAGGGAGTCACCTCACTCAGTATAACTTTTCTGGTTCTACCCATTTAACTGCAAATTTCATAATTTCATTTCTTAGGGCTGAATAAAATTCCATTGTGTAATATGCACCACAATTTCATTATCCATGTGTCAGTTGGTGGATAGGTGCACCGGTTCCATTTGCTAGTTATTGTGAGTACAGCAGCAATGAATGTTGACGTTCACAAACACGAGCACGCAATGGACACGCAAGGGTCCCTGCAGCAGCACACAGAGTTGTCTGAGTGTGTGTTCAGAGCAGCACAGACAGGTCGTCTGAGGGTTCTGTCTTCAGCTTCTTGAGAAATCTCCACACTGGTTTCCATGGTGGCTTCACTGGTTTTCCACTCCCACCAGAGTGTACAATGGACTTTCCTTCTGCACACCGCCCCCCCCCAGCACTTGTCACTCATTTTCTTGGCAATGGCCACTCTGACTAGGGTGAGATGGAATCCCAGAGAACTTTCATCTAGCATTTCCCTAACGACTAAGGATGCTGTGCACTTTAAACAACGTTTATTCTCCGCTTGTTGTTTCTTCTGCCTGTTCAATTCCATGGCTGATTTTTTTTATTGGATTGTTTGCTTTCTTGACGTTTGTAGGTTATAGATGTGAGTCCTCAGTTGGACAACTAGCAAAGATTGTCTCCTGTCAGATAGATGGTTCTTCACTCAATTAAAAGTTTCATTTGCTGTACATGAGTTTTTTGATCCTGTGGTCCCTTTTATGGATTGTTGATCCTAGTTCCCGGGCAACTGGAGTCCTCTTCAGAGCATCTTCACCTAGATGATGTGTGGAAGGATTCTCCCTACATTTCCTTCGGTTGTTTCAGAAGTTCGGGTCCTATGTTGAGGTATTTTATCAACCTTCTTTCTTTCATGGAATAATTGAGAAGTGTTGCTGTTAGTTCTAGTTTGAAGGTCTGATGGGATTCTGCCATGAATGTGTCTGGTCCTGGACTTTTTTAAATTGGAATTTTTTTATTACTGTTGAAAATCATGGCTTGTAATGGACCCATCCAAATGATCTCATCTTGGTTTAACTTTGGTAAATCATATAGCTCTAGAAATTCATTCACTTCTTTTAGGTTTCCCAATTTAAAAGAATATAAAATTTTAAGACATGCCCTCATTTTCTTCTGAATTTTGTTGGTGCATGTTATAGTGCCTCTCATTGTCTCTAATTTTGTTTGGCTCTGGTCTCCTGTTCTTTTGGTTAGTTAGATAAGAGTGTCCCAGTTTGTTTACCTTTCCAAAGGTCCAATGAATTTTATTGATTTTTTTTTACTTCTACTTCGTTAAGTTCTGCCCTAATCATAATTATTTCTCCACACCTACTACTTTTGGGTTCAGTTTGTTCTTGTCTTTCCAATGTCTTAAGTACATTATTAAATTATTTGAGTTCTCTATGATTATTGTCCCATTATTTTATGCAGGTTATAGACTTCCCTCTTAGGAGCCACCTTTATTATATCACAAAGGTTTCAGAATGTTCTGTTTTCATTTTCATTCAAGTCTAAATTTTAAAAACTTTATATTTTGATTTCTTCAATGATCTGTTCATCATTTAATATTGCATTATTTAATCTTCATGAGTTTGTATATTTTCTCTTGTTAATTTATAGCTTTATTTCATTTTGGACAGATAGAATACAAGACATATGATGGTCAGCTTTACTTGATACAACCTATGACCTCTTGTGAAGGGGATCTCAATGAGGAGCTGTGTAAATTGGGTTGCCCTGTGATTTTGTCTTGGGGAGATTGTCTTAAATTGATCTAGGAAGATCCAGCCCGCTGTGGGTAGTACCATTCCCTAGAAAGGGGATCCTAAGCCTTATAAAACTGGAGAAATCAGAGTGGGCACAAGAATCAAGCAAGTGGGCAAGCATTTATTCATTTCTCTCTACTCTTGACCTTGGATGTGCTGTGACCAGCTTCCCCACACTGCTAGGCCATAACCTGGAACTGTAATCTGTATGTATCCTTTTCCCACTAAGTTGCTTTTTGTCAGGATATTTTATCACAGC